GTTACAGAGAAGACAATTCAATCGTATATTTGAGTTAGGATAAGAATACACCTATGGCAGTGAAGATAAGATAGGTTAACATTAATCAATCTATAAAAGTATTGATTTTACCACACTTGAAGTGCAAAATATATAGTCTATATTTTGGAACTTAGCCTGTGTGTTACCCCAAAGACATGTCAGTGTTACTGGAAAGACATTTCAGATCAAGTTGATGGAAGACAAAAAGAATTAAATTCTGGTGTTCAATAAAGACTTTAGACAGTGTGCTTTGAATAAACAACAATAAAAACAGCAAGTTACCATTTTGAAATTTGTTTTCTAGGAACTCAGAAACTCACTTCAGAACAAGTTTGTCTGTAATTGCCATGAATTTATCAAACTGTCAAACAGGTTTGCAACCAAACTGTTAAACAGCAAAAAATATCCAAGTTTTGATCATCTTCCTCAAACTGTCAAAAGTTTTAACAAATCAGTATCAAAAATCCCTCAAGCTGTCAAAGTAATTTGTCATTACCCATTTGTCTCTTGCCAATTCTGAGAACCATACAGAAGTGAATATTTCATTGAAATTTTGTTTCAGATTATGACACATTAACTTTAGATAGGAAACTAGATGTTAACACTTTGATGGTTTTGCAGACTGATCATTACGATGTCATATTTATCATAATCACAGCCACGCCCTGTCTTTCAAATAACAGTCTTTGAAAATGCATAAAAGCATTCAAAGTTTCTAGAAAAGACTTCTTTGTGAAGCATAAGGTAATCTTATCTCATATATTTGATGCTAATCTGAATGAATCAGGAAAGAAAGACAAAAATGAAAGATAATTAGTATTAAACTGTCTTTGCAGTAACAACATAAGTCTTTTAAGTAACAGCTATTTTTGAAAGACATATAGCATACAAATTTTTAGGGAAAATATGAATTGTTACTCAAAATATAATCTTAAAGGTCCTAATATGAGCACATAGCAAATCTAGATGAACAAAGACCTACCAGAGATAATGTTTATTTTCAAATTTGTATTAAATTGTCTTTGCAGTTACAGAATTTGTCTTTCCAATAACGACCTTTGACAAAAATTAGTATGATTGCCTTCAGACAAGAAAGTATAAAACATGTTTCAGCCTCAGCATACATAGACCTTAGATCATTACAACAAGTCAACTGTTAATGACATTGACATTAACATAAAAGAATATGTGACTAATCAATATTGATGTTTCTTTGAAGTAACACTGAAGGTCTTTCCAATAACAAAATAGCTGTTAGCTGTTACAGAAAAGACTGTTATGTGAAAGACAAATTGTAAGAGTAAATTAAGAGAAAAATAATGACTAGTCCCTTTCCCATTTCAGACAACATTCTTATGTTATAATTATGGTTCCAAATGCAAAGAGAAAAACATACTTGTGGGAAACTGGGTATTTTTTAAATAATTGATGTTATCTAAAAGACACCAATAAAAAATACTCGCAAATGCTGACCTTTTAAACTTGATTTTCTTTGAAAATTTTGTCTTGAACACAACACCACATGTTCATCACTCTCAACCAGAAGTTGTTAATAAGCATAACATGTAGTTCCACTTTCACAGGATGAGGGATCATTAATTATTTCATAATTCTATGGAACTGTTACAGGAAAGACATTTTTCTTGTATACAAGAGAAAAAGGTTGTTTTTTATGTAAAAATTCAGCTTGAAAATCATTAACATCTACCAGGAATGAGAAAAAGGTCTATTCTTTTCAACCACTCCAGAAACAATACCTTTTTATATAAAATTTAGTGCACAGAAGACACATGATGTTAAGTTTTTGCACCTGGATACATGACAAAATGCATGTCCCTTGTTACAAAAAAGGAAAAAATAAATATTATTTGGTCCTTTTGTTTGTGATAAAAAATTCCCAAGTAAGATTAGATGTTGGTAATGAAGGAGAAATCAGATTTTTAACACACTGATAAAATTTGATGGTTTTATTGAGGTTTTAATCCTGATATGGGAAAAAGCTGTATCTTTTGAGAATGACTCATATATCATATGTGCACATATCACTTTTGCCAAGCAACTATTGTTTCTGAATTTCATCTCCTTGATGTCATTAAACAATTGAATGTGACATCAATGAAGAGGGCCATCACACTTGCTTACTGATGTTTTACTGCCCAAATGTACATGAATGAAATGGATAATAAAGAAATTATTACACTCAAGCAAGTATGTCATATGACTTATGTATTGCTCTCGCTTGGGCAATATAAAATTTCACACTTGTTTCGTATGGCACACTTGCTTGTGTAATAATCTCTATGTACAAGTTTTGAAATAAAACAAAATAGTCATGCCATTACTCAAGTAATATGAAAAAATTGGGTGTTCTTAATTTCTTTTGAGTGGTGTATATATCTTTCATATTGCTCACAAATATGCTGATATGTTGCCTACTTCAGCATGTTATTATGCTTTTTTCTTTCCTCTCCAACAGTTCCAACTTCATGTGTATTTAACAGCAGGTATGATTGGTTAGCATAGGAGTAGTTTCTGAGGGCAATAGAATAGGGTATTGGAAGGAACTGGAGCACATGGATATCATTGGCATAGGTAACATGATTATTGATGCCCAAAGTACTGAAATTGTGATTACTTTTCTTTGAAATAAATACAATAAAAGCAGTAAGTTTAGTAACAGCCCAAATGTACATAAGCATAGGCTCTAATATATCATTCCCAGTACCTAAACAGAATAATTTAATTTCTTCTGATCATTGCATACACATTCATTTAAGTTAATGTAATTGGAAATCTTTAATTTAATCACCAGTAGATATATCACCAGTTATGTGAACAGCTGATTGCTATTTCTGGCATATTTTAGGAGATTATATGTGAACCTTTTAATCTCTGCATATATTTAACCAAAAAAATCAAATTGTAGACCACCATGTCTGTTATGTAATCTTTCACTGAAAACTTCCCAATTCATTATCTGTATTTCTCATGAAAGATTGGGTGGGTGGGTTGGAGTGAGTGAGTGAGTGGGAGTGAGTGGGTGAGTGAGTGAGTGAGTGGAGTGAAAGAGTGAGTGAGTGAAAGAGTGAAAGAGTGAGTGAGTGAGTGAGTGGAGGAGTGAGTGAGCAAGTCAGTGAGCAAGTATGTAAGTTTGAATACGACTGTCATCATCTGATCCCCTGCAACAATTCATTTGAAGGAGTGTATTAAATACAAACAAATTTCAAACAATTTCTACTAGAATTAAGTTTTTAGGAGACTGACATCACAGTGACTTGGTCAGCCCACAATTCATTCCCATAATACATATACCTTATTATTGATATCAATACTGCCACCAATGTCTACAACTTAATTAGATCACCAGGTTAATGTGATTCAGTCAGTTCAAATTGTATTGAAACCATGACATTAAAACAAAAATTCAACCAATGTCAATACTTGTCATAACTCCTATTAAGAAGTTGTCAGTGGAAACATATATATATAATTCGGAGGGCCATGGATTATCTCCAATCAATTGGGCAAATCCATAGCATGGGGAGTTTGTTGCGACACCTCTGATCCCGTCTGTCTCTCCCAGCAAACCTTCCTACATACACTGGCTGGGAGGTCCCTGTGAGCTGAGTAATTAATGAAATGACACTCCCATGTCATGATGAGAGGTAAGGGGCAAAGCAATTGTTATGTCATGTCAGAATTCCATGAATGGAATTTTTGTCCACTGCCTGTGGTTGGTTGGGAGTTCATACTGGTTGCTGTTTAAACTTTCATCTATCTGGATGATTAATTCCCTGTAGGGGACAAATGTAACCAAAATATGTGCGAACATATCCTCAACAGGTCGATAAACTTATCAGATATAACTCTAACTGTCTGATAAGAGCGTGTCTATCCTTTGAGAACTTATGAATGAACATGCACATTCATTTTTTCATTTTAAAAAACATTAAAGGTAACTTAATGTTAAGCATGTGTGAGTGACTCTTGATGTTTTTGATAATGTTTTAATTGCTGATCAACAGATGGGATAATAAAAGGGTTTATGATAATGCATATATAACCAGCGACATTCCTCGTAGCATGGGCACAGGAAAGTGTAGCACTGTTATAGTAGAGTGCCATTCACTCGACACTGTTGTAGAAGATTGGGTGGTTAAGGCAATATTGATGACCAGAAACAACCACAATGTGTGTCAGTCTACAGCCACCCATGTGTATTCAAGTCATTACAAAAAATATATATCACAAACACACTTACCTGCAGTAAAATAATTGTTATAAAACACAAAAATGTTTCAAGAATACGCAGTAACTTCCTTCAGGTGCATTTCTGTCAGAATTGGTTATTAGATTTAAAGAACAATATGGTGGCAATGTAAGTAGAAAACCGAGGACTACCTGGTTACCATGTTTGCTCTCAGAATTAAACTAAACTAAGGATAAGGTGTTTACAATGTTTGTTCTCAGAGCTAAAGTAAACTCATGACTAGCAGGTTACAATGTTTGCTCTTAGAGCTAAGCTGAACTCAAGAGTAGACGGTTACAATATTTGTTGCCAGAGCTAAAGTAAACTCATGACTAGCTGGTTACCATGTTTGCTCTCAGAGCTAAACTAAACTAAGGGTAAGGTGTTTACAACGTTTGCTCTCAGAGCTAAAGTAAACTCATGACTAGCAGGTTACAATGTTTGCTCTTAGAGCTAAGCTGAACTCAAGAGTAGACGGTTACAATATTTGTTGCCAGAGCTAAAGTAAACTCATGGCTAGCTGGTTACCATGTTTGCTCTCAGAGCTAAACTAAACTAAGGATAAGGTGTTTACAACGTTTGTTCTCAGAGCTAAAGTAAATTCATGACTAGCAGGTTACAATGTCTGCTCTTAGAGCTAAGCTGAACTCAAGAGTAGACGGTTACAATATTTGTTGCCAGAGCTAAAGTAAACTCATGACTAGCTGGTTACACCATGTTTGCTCTCACTGAACTAAACTAAGGATAAGGTGTTTACAACGTTTGCTCTCAGAGCTAAAGTAAACTCATGACTAGCAGGTTACAATGTTTGCTCTTAGAGCTAAGCTGAACTCAAGAGTAGACGGTTACAATATTTGTTGCCAGAGCTAAAGTAAACTCATGACTAGCTGGTTACCATGTTTGCTCTCAGAGCTAAATTAACTAAGGATACGGTGTTTACAACGTTTGCTCTCAGAGCTAAAGTAAACTCATGACTAGCAGGTTACAATATTTGCTCTTAGAACTAAGCTGAACTCAAGAGTAGATGGTTACAATGTTTGTTCTCAGAGCTAAAGTAAACTCATGACTAGCAGGTTACAATGTTTGCTCTTAGAGCTAAACTGAACTCAGGAGTAGATGGTTACAATGTTTGTTCTCAGAGCTAAAGTAAACTCATGACTAGCTTGTTACAATGTTTGCTCTTAGAGCTAAACTGAACTCAGGAGTAGATGGTTACAATGTTTGTTCTCAGAGCTAAAGTAAACTCATGACTAGCTGGTTACAATGTTTGCTCTCAAAGCTAAACTGAACTCAGGAGTAGATGGTTACAATGTTTGTTCTCAGAGCTAAAGTAAACTCATGACTAGCTGGTTACAATGTTTGCTCTCTGAGCTAAACTGAACTCAGGAGTAGATGGTTACAATGTTTGTTCTCAGAGCTAAAAAATCATGAAGCTGGCTGCAATGTTTGACTCAAAGCTAACCTGGCTGCTAATGTTTGTTCTCAGAGCTAAACTGAACTCATGACTAGCTGGTTACAATGTTTGCTCTCTGAGCTAAACTGAACTCAGGAGTAGATGGTTACAATGTTTGTTCTCAGAGCTAAAGTAAACTCATGACTAGCTGGTTACAATGTTTGCTCTCTGAGCTAAACTGAACTCAGGAGTAGATGGTTACAATGTTTGTTCTCAGAGCTAAAGTAAACTCATGACTAGCTAGTTACAATGTTTGCTCTCTGAGCTAAACTGAACTCAGGAGTAGATGGTTACAATGTTTGTTCTCAGAGCTAAAGTAAACTCATGACTAACTGGTTACAATGTTTGCTCTCAAAGCTAAACTGAACTCAAGAGTAGATGGTTACAATGTTTGTTCTCAGAGCTAAAGTAAACTCATGACTAGCAGGTTGCAATATTCGTCTTAGAGCTAAACTGAACTCAGAAGTAGATGGTTACAATGTTTGTTCTCAGAGCTAAAGTAAACTCATAACTAGCTAGTTACAAGGTTGTCTTTAAACTGAACTCAGGAGTAGATGGTTACAATGTTTGTTCTCAGAGCTAAAGTAAAATCATGACTAGCTGGTTACAATGTTTGCTCTCAAAGCTCAAACTGAACTCTCAGGACTATGGTTACAATGTTTGTTCTCAGAGCTAAAGTAAACTCATGACTAGCTGGTTACAATGTTTGCTCTCAAAGCTAAACTGAACTCAGGAGTAGACGGTTACAATGTTTGTTCTCAGAGCTAAAGTAAACTCATGACTAGCTAGTTACAATGTTTGCTCTCAAAGCTAAACTGAACTCAGGAGTAGATGGTTACAATGTTTGTTCTCAGAGCTAAAGTAAACTCATGACTAGCTGGCTGCAATGTTTGCTCTCAAAGCTAAACTGAACTCAGGAGTAGATGGTTACAATGTTTGTTCTCAGAGCTAAAGTAAACTCATGACTAGCTGGCTGCAATGTTTGCTCTCAAAGCTAAACTGAACTCAGAAGTAGATGGTTACAATGTTTGCTCTCAGAGCTAAACTGAACTAAGGATATGGTGGTTGCAATGTTTGCTCTCAGAGCTAAACTAAACTAAGAATATAGTTGTTACAATGTTTGCTCTTAGAGCTAAACATTACTAAGGACTAGATGGTTACAATTTCTGCTCTCAGAGCTAAACTAAACTAAGGATTAGGTGGCTACAATGTTTTCCTTATGAGATGAACTTTGGTAAATGGTAAATGACAGTCTGGATCTGATTACTGTCAACCATTGTACAGTGACTGAGATGTATTTTGGGTAGATTACATCAAAGCACATCTTTAGAATCGGATTAAGCCAATGTTGACACCACCATACAAAAAACAAGTAACTCTTGATAGTGAAAGCCAGTGAGTGTGAATCCTGTTCATAAGCCACATGCACAATATTCAAGCCATATCACATAGGTCTGTGACCAGAAAAAACAGTGGTTGATATCATGACCACCATCCCACATCATCAGGATACAATGACACAGAATCAGCAAAATCAGAGCCTGACCAACATCCCACACCATCATCAGGGTACAAGGACACAGAATATCGGCAAAATCAGAGCCTGACCAACATCCGACACCATCAGGGTACAAGGACACAGAATCAGCAAAGTCAGAGCCTGACCAACATCCCACACCATCAGGGTACAAGGACACAGAATCAGCAAAGTCAGAGCCTGACCAACATCCCACACCATCAGGGTACAATGACACAGAATCAGCAAAGTCAGAGCCTGACCAACATCCCACACCATCAGGGTACAAGGACACAGAATCAGCAAAGTCAGAGCCTGACCAACATCCCACACCATCAGGGTACAATGACACAGAATCAGCAAAGTCAGAGCCTGACCAACATCCCACACCATCAGGGTACAATGACACAGAATCAGCAAAGTCGGAGCCTGACCAACATCCCACACCCATCAGGGTACAATGACATCAGGGAATCAGCAAAGTCAGAGCCTGACCAACATCCCACCACCATCAGGGTACTGACACAAGAATCAAGCAAAGTCAAAGTCAGAGCCTGAGCCTGACCAACATCCCACACCATCAGGGTACAATGACACAGAATCAGCAAAGTCAGAGCCTGACCAACATCCACCATCAGGGTACAAGGACACAGAATCAGCAAAGTCAGAGCCTGACCAACATCCAATGACACACACCATCAGGGTACAAGGACACAGAATCAGCAAAGTCGGAGCCTGACCAACATCCCACACCATCAGGGTACAAGGACACAGAATCAGCAAAGTCAGAGCCTGACCAACATCCCACACCATCAGGGTACAATGACAGAATCAGCAAACAAGCCTGACAGTCAGGCCTGACCAACAGAATGACACAGCAAAGTTGGAGCCTGACCAACATCCCACACCATCAGGGTACAAAGGACACAGGGTACAAGGACATAGAATCAGCAAAGTTGGAGCCTGACCAATCAGCAAACAATGACACAGAGCAAAGTCGAGACTGACCAACATCCCACACCATTATCACAATGACACAGAATCAGCAAAGTCAGAGCCTGACCAACATCCCACACCATCAGGGTACAAGGACACAGAATCAGCAAAGTCAGAGCCTGACCAACATCCACACATCCCATCAGGGAATACAAGGACACAGAATCAGAGCCAGAGGAGCCTGACCAACATCCCACACCATCAGGGTACAAGGACACAGAATCAGCAAAGTCAGAGCCTGACCAACATCCCACACCATCAGGGTACAAGGACACAGAATCAGCAAAGTCAGAGCCTGACCAACATCCCACACCATCAGGGTACAAGCCTGACACAGATCCCACACCATCAGCAAGGAAAGTCAGCAAAGTCAGAGCCTGACCAACATCCCACACCATCAGGGTACAATGACACAGAATCAGCAAAGAGCCTGACCAACATCCCACACCATCAGGGTACAAGACACAGAATCACAGCCTGACCAACATCCCACACCATCATGACACAGAATCAACAAAGTTGGAGCCTGACCAACATCCAACACTACCATCAAGGTACAAGGACACAGAATCAAAGAGCCTGACCAACATCCAACACCATTATCAAGGAGCCTGCAAACCAACATACAATGACACAGAATCAGCAAAGTTGGAGCCTGACCAACATCCCACACCATCAGGGTACAAGGACACAGAATCAGCAAAGTTGGAGCCTGACCAACATCCCACACCATCAGGGTACAAGGACACAGAATCAGCAAAGTCAGAGCCTGACCAACATCCCACACCATCAGGGTACAAGGACACAGAATCAGCAAAGTTGGAGCCTGACCAACATCCCACACCATCAGGGTACAATGACACAGAATCAGCTAAGTTGGAGCCCGACCATCAGATGTACTTCATGATACCTCACTTGACAAGAATACACATACTGCAAAGTCCCAGAGTGAAACCTTAAATGAAAAGAGACTTGTAAAACCTATTTCCCAAACACTATTTCTGACCCCATCCTCCCGAAAGCAATTGAAATTATTGGTTTAGACAATCCTAAAAACAATGAATCTTTCAATTCAAACAAATTACACATTTACAGCTCAAAATAATAAATAGAGTATATTTTAGTTGATATTAGGGCACATTTTAATGCACTTCTTAGTTTTCAACAGAAAAATATAATTTCCTATTCTGTTTCTTCGTTAAAATATCGCGACATTTTCCTCAAGTGTAATTTCCTCGTCACTTACAGTTTATGTAACATAATACAAACCCTTATAAACATTCACCCAAGCTCAGCTCAGATTAGTTTTAAATGGCATACCCCATGCAGCACATAATACAAAGTCAGTTTAGTTTAAAACCGGCTAGAACTATGACATGAAAACGTCAACATTTGATTCAATCCGGAAAACAATACTTTTTCTTAAACATAAACAGCCATTTCCGCATGTGGAAATGTCAATAAATATCATGTACTGTTTACCTCCATGCACTACTTGCTGCACATTCCAATTAATGCCAACTGGTATTTGGAAAAGAATAACAAGAAAAAGATTGAAATTTTGACATTTCCTTAAACTTCACAAATATTAAATTGGAAAGCTTAATTGGTCTGTTCTCATCTGCCTGTTTTGTATATCTCTTAAATTAGCACTGACAAGTACAATGTGATAAGTTGCTTCATTTTGTTTGAACTTTTGAAGAAACTTACGTAAGAGAACCGTTTTTCAATGTTCTTACTATCTTCAGGGGCACCTGCCATTATCAATCTGATGTACTTTAAGATGGCTAGGTGTTTTGAGTGAGAGTATTAGCACTGCTGGAAGGAAAGTTCTCTACCCTCAGTGAATATAGATAAGGGTGACTTCAATGTCCTGTATGCTTCTGTTGAGAGAACTGCAGATGCTTGTCAGCTCACTCAAAGAGTACACTTTTTACCAGAAAGGCTAGAAATATAGCACATCTTCTATTTCAAAAAACGTTTTAGAACTAAGAAAATATTTGTTTTGCAGGTTCCTGTTATGAAAAAGACTGATGTTCAGTTTGAAAACTAATACCTGATGTTTGTTTGTGCTCTCTGACAGAATACTAAACATATGTCCTGTGTACTGTACATAAACCATCCTAATCTTTAGTAGCAAAGATTTGTGCACTCTTTGAATTAACATGTCAAACATTTAATTGTGCTCTTTCCTGTATGTCCAACATTTGTGTTCTCACTCAATCAAGGCGGCAAACGTGTACTCAATCAGTATGTCAAACTTTGTTGTTACAATCTCAGTGCAGCCTTTAAAACAGTATACCAAACACTTAGAATCTGTATACCAACAATGGTGACCTCTGACAGTACAATATACCATACCCTGATGCTCTCATTGTATACCATGCACAGCAAACCATGGTGATATCTAACCAAATCGACTTGTGAAGGTCCGGGTTAGAATATTGATTTTCAGTAACCCATGCTTGTCGTAAGAGGCGACTAACGGGATCGGGTGGTCAGACTTGCTGACTTGGTTGACACATGTCATCGGTTCCCAGTTGCGCAGATAGATGCTTATGCTGTTGATCACTGGATTGTCTGGTCCAGACTCGATTATTTACAGACCGCTGCCATATAGCTGGAATATTGCTGAGTGCGGTGTAAAACTCAACTCACTCACTCACTTGCATACCAAATCAGGGGTCCCTCGCTGTGATAGTGTTCAAATATTGCTAAAAGCAGCATAAAATGATACTCACTCATTCACTCTTAGAATCAGTGTACCAAATCCTGATGATCTCATTGTATCAGTACACCAAACCTTGCTGATATCTTAAAATTCTTTTCACCAAATTGTAGCGCATTCTTAGAATCAGTATACCAAATCCTGGTGATCTCTGAGAGACAAATATACCACACCCTGATGATCTCATTGTATCAGTACACCAAAGCTTGCTGATATCTTAAAATTCTATTTACAAAACCATGGTCCCTCACTGTGATATGGTTGGAATATTGCTAAAAGTGGCAATAAATCATATTCACTCACTCACTCTTAGAATCTGTATACCAAACAATGATGACCTCTGACAGTCCAATATACCATACTCTGATGATCTCATTTTATCAGTACACCAAACCTTGGTGATATCTTAATATTCTATTTACCAAATCATGGGGATCTCTTAGAATCAGTGTACCAAACCTTGGTGATATCTCAGAATCCAGTATCTGGTGATGTCTTAGAATCAGTGTACCAAACCTTGGTGATATATCAGAATCCAGTATCTGGTGATGTCTTAGAATCAGTGTACCAAACCTTGGTGATATCTCAGAATCCAGTATCTGGTGATGTCTTAGAATCAGTGTACCAAACCTTGGTGATATCTCAGAATCCAGTATCTGGTGATGTCTTAGAATCAGTGTACCAAACCTTGGTGATATCTCAGAATCCAGTATCTGGTGATGTCTTAGAATCAGTGTACCAAACCTTGGTGATATCTCAGAATCCAGTATCTGGTGATGTCTTAGAATCAGTGTACCAAACCTTGGTGATATCTCAGAATCCAGTATCTGGTGATGTCTTAGAATCAGTACACAAAACCCCAATGACTCAATATACCATACTCTCATGATGTCTTAGAATCCAAAATACCAACCATAGTAGAATCAGTACACCAAACTTTGATGATCTTTCACAATGGAAAAACTTAAATTCTTCTGACCAATGTAAAAGACAAACAAAGGATGTACCTGACTCCTAACCTATATTGATCATGTTTATGAACTAAGGTAACAAACAGAAAACCAGATCTCAATCTGCAATACAAACACTGATAATTCCATGGCCCTGCAACCCGGCAGTATCAGTGATTCTCCCCCAACATATGATATGCTGTGTTCAGCACTATCATCTTCTACAGCACTATTTTTTCAAAAGTACATCATCATTAAAGGACAATAAATAAACCAAAAAATCGCAAAGAAACAAGCAAAAATAGCAGCCACAAAAAAACTGCAAGTGAAGCATAGGAGATATTCACCTTTAAAAGTGAAAGACGCAGTGTTTAGTCTATGGGCCTTCAAGCTTGAATAATTAAAAGAAAACAAGATATATACAAATGTGAAGGTGATGTTCCTACTTTTCGCACAAGTTGAGCATGCAATCCTATGGCAGCTGAAGCTATACAGAGGATAGGAGGGATGGATATCATACAAACATCATGGCCAACATGACCACCCAAATCTGGGCTCTATCTTCTGTAATAAGCCCAGCCACAGGTGTGTGGATACAACATGGCACGAGTTGCCATGTAAATATACTCTTCTCCCTATAATGATCCATTTTTAGGTCAGTAACTAGATATTAAGTGGACATGTGAAAAGTATAAGGCTTCGGGACAGAGGAATTGTGGACTCTCTGGATCTGATAAAGGCTGAAGTAATAATCAACACATTCTGGAATCCGTTTGTCATTTACCATATGTTTTACATGATAAGCAGAATGCCAGACAGTGCCCACTTCAGCAGGTTGGATCACTACACCTGGGTTATGGGATATTTTGGACTGAAGTTTTCAGAGTAGTGACAAACTGACCAAAGTCACAGATTCCACAAAGTGATCTTATAATTAGTACTAAGGCTGACATAAGTCAATGTTAAAGTATAGAAGTTACGATCATCTTAGCACTTATCTTAAGTCTATGTTAAAGTATGGTAGTTACGATAATCTTAGCACTTATCTTAAGTCTATGTTAAAGTATGGTAGTTATGATCATCTTAGCACTTATCTTAAGTCTATGTTAAAGTATGGTAGTTATGATCATCTTAGCACTTATCTTAAGTCTATGTTAAAGTATGGTAGTTACAATCATCTTAATGTTTGCCCTTAGTGACTATGTTAAAGTATGGTAGCTACAATCATCTTAGCATTTGTCCTAAGTCAATGCTAAAGTATGGTAGCTACAATCATCTTAGCATTTGTCCTAAGTCAATGCTAAAGTATGGTAGTTACAATCATCTTAGCACTTGCCCTAAATCTATGTTAAAGTATGGTAGTTACGATCATCTTAGCCTCTGTCCTAAGTCAATGCTAAAGTATGGTAGTTACAATCATCTTAGCACTTGCCCTAAATCTATGTTAAAGTATGGTAGTTACGATCATCTTAGCCTCTGTCCTAAGTCAATGCTAAAGTATGGTGATTATGATCATCTTAGTGCTTGTCCTAAATCTATGTTAAAGTATGGTAGTTACGATCATCTTAGCCTCTGTCCTAAGTCTATGTTAAAGTATGAGTGAATGCTTTAACCACTAGGCTACCCCACCACCCCTTGTGAGGTGAAAGACCTCTTAATCTGAGAAACGTCTAAATATGCTTTTGAATTGCAGAAAGGTCTGTGTGGAAGGGCACATAATGTAGACTGTGAGACAGACTCAGCCCACCTCTGGTTCTAATTGAGACTGAATATTAAGCCAGGCTGTACCATCTTAGACCAAATGATGCAAATATTTGGTGCTGATTCAGGTCTATAGGCAACAGGAGTAAACAGTAAACCAATACATGTATTAACTGATGTGTTAGGTCATGTCTTATAAAGCTCATCAGTAGAGTTTCAGTGATGGAATTACACATATGTGGGGCATTTTCCAAACCAGTGGATGATAGTGTGAGCATTGATATAACCCATCATACTATAAGCATCTTGATATGTTATAGGTTTCCAATTTCTTTCCAAGTACCATTTCCCAGCAAGCACAGTGAGAGTGCGTTTAGTTTTACACAGTACTCAGCAATATTCCAGCTATATGGTGGCCCAGCAAGCACAGAGTGAGTGAGTTTGGTTTTACGCCGCTTTTAGCAATATTCCAGCAATATCACGGTGGGGACACCAGAAATGAGCTTCACACAGCAAGCACAGAGCACTGATACCAGAAACTATGAGGTCTGGGGATGTAAGAGGTTCAGCTAGGCATATAGATTAGTCGTGAGTACAAAAACCATTTCACAGAACCGCTTTTGTAGTTGTTCCCAGGATACTGCCTGCGTTGGACAAGGAAGAAATGGTAAGGAAGCATAACAGTATGTTGACTGCTGTGTTACTAAGTTATGAGAGGCCTCCCTGGTGCTATGGGCAGCAATGGAACAGGTGGTTCCTCTAGAGCTGGGCAGGGAAGCCAGGTAGAGGGTTATCATCTAGCAGATCCCTACCTCTGATGAAAGGCAGCACGGAAACCCCTATATAACAATGTTCATTCCTGCTGTCGAGACTGATAGTGCTGGAATGTCTACAGACTCAAGTTTCATACCCCTTGGAGTTCTTGTAGACTAGACTGGCCCTGTTGACCTGAATATCGCAATCTTCAATCAAAATATCACAATGTATTATTTTTACAGGTAGACTCAACTATTCAATTCACTGTGGCAGCAATATTAAAAATGTAGCCCTTAATGAAAATCACATGAGGAACCCCAAGGCATTGTTACAGGATATTTGAAAGGATTGCCACCAAAGTCTGAGTGAGAGAGTTAGATTTTATACCGCTAACACATATTCCTGGGCTACAATGGCAAAAAGACACAAGAAATGGGTTAAACACTAGATTGACATTTAGTCCCTCAAATATTTTGATCACATTAAAAAATTAGACCTACAAAATATACACAAAAATATATTCCACAGAGAGACCAGGACAATGCTTTTAAACATATTTTATTCGAAAATGAAATGGATTGGGCACAAGTTATCCAACTTAGGAACGCCCTTTCCCAGAAGTTATATATGTCATATTTACAATATAAAAAACATTGACAACAGGGATTTGTGGAAGGAATGTACAAGGTATTTAAAGAGGATGTGTATAGTATATACAAGAATAAACCTACAAAAATCTTTCAGTGAGCTTAATATATCTATTTACATGTTCAAATAATAATTCATTTTCATATAGTGATATTGTACCATGACCAAATAACAATAAATCTAGACTAATGGGTATGCTATATTTAATGACAGTATTTACATTTGCAAACAAATCTTTACGCTGTTTTGTGTACAAAGAACATTCTAAAAGATAATGCCATGAATTTTCACAAGAACAATGCTTAATTATGGAAACGGAGGCAATGTAGACCTGTTCAATCATTCTAAACTACCTTTTTATCTAATCTGTAGGTTCTGGGAGGCAGACTAGTTTAACATGTACCTATTTCATACAGGACCTGAAACAAATAGACCCATAAAGGTTCGGGTTAAAATTGATCTTTAGTAACCCATGCTTGTCGTAAGAGGCGACTAACGGGATCAAGTGGTGAGGTTCGCTGACTTGGTTGACACATCGGTTCAACATTGCGCAGATCAATGATCATGCTGTTGCTCACTAGGGCTGCTCAATAAAACCGGTTTACCGGTTCAGACATGACAGTATTGCGATACGCTTATCGAAAACCGGTATTTTGACATGCATTCGGAAAACTTCGTAACACTCGGAACCTTGATGACTGTGGCAATTGTGGTAATGGTGGTGGGAATGATGGTGGTGAAAATTACATTAAACTGGATTGTTAAACTCGGTTTGAAGTAGTGTTCTTAATTTTAATTCAAGTGTTTGGCAATGTTTTTGGATCTGAAAGTTTTAAATATTTACTCATTAATGACCAGTGATCTCTGATATGTCCTGACCAGGTCAAGTTGCTGTCTAAAATCTCAGGGCTTTTTTGAGAGTGGAGAAACAAGTTCAAAGTAGTAACCACTGTGTTGATGTTAAATTGTTCTTTTCCTTGTTTCCTTTGTGCCAAATATTATTTCCATTCTTATTTTGTCATGAATAAAAGTTTTTATTAAAGCTTAATCAAGCATAGTGATTTGGTTGTGTTTTTGCTTTATAAATCAAGCATTAACTAGATTATAAGTATTTTTTTTATTAAAAACAATTCTTGCAATATATTGCAATACATATCGCAATATATGCTTTCGCATTGCAATATACTGCAATATGAAAATTCTCTGCAATACCCACCCCAACTGATCACTGGATTGTCTGGTCCAGACTCGATTATTTACAGACTGCCTACATATAGGTGGAATATTGCTGAGTGCGGCCTAAACTAAACTCACTCACTCACTCACTCAAACAAATATATCCAATGCAACCTGTTCAGGTCTATAATATATGGCAAGTCTAGATTACACCGGGCATCCTATCCACAAAACGTTCATAAGACTATGCCATTCCTTAGCCTATGATAAAGTATAGAAATAGGTTGTAACGTTACGACTGGGATTGGGACCCAGGCTCTGAAAATGAAGAAAGTATCAGGGCTCCTTTCATAATATTATATTTACAAAATTTAGTTACTTAGGTTTTTTTCTGTAAAATATGATAATTTCCTAGACTAGATGTTAGTTTAGCGAATATACCACACAAGCAAACAACATGAGGAACCAGTGCGCTTTAACCATGCGAGTGAGTGAGTGAGTGAGTGAGTGAGTGAGTGAGTGCGTGAGTGAGTGAGTGAGTGAGTGTGTGTGCATGAGTGAGTGAGTGAGTGAGGGTTGGAGGATGGGCTGCAAGGATTCATCTATGCCACTGAAAGGTCCATGACACAAGTAAAAACTTTAATCAGTGAAAAAACCCTTTTCCAGTTTCTTATCTTCTAGACAAGTGCATCTGAAATGTTTATCATGGCATTAACAACCAAAAAAACCCAGATGCCAGCTAAAAGTCTTTTTCCAGTCATAGGTTTGGTTATTTTGTGTCACATAAAGATTGTAATGTACAGTCAACATAGTTTCTGCTCTGCTGTAAGTGGAGATTTTTCTTCTCTCAGTGCCACCAGAGACCATATAATTGATCTATTTTGTTCTGATCACCTATGTTGGGGTGTGGTGGGTGAGCTGGCTGGCTGTAGCCAGGCTAGTGATCCAGCGAGGTTGAGTTGTCGGATCGAGCCCACCTATGACCGGGTGTAAAAACCTTGAAGTCAACTTTGTGTGCAGTCTCTTTCAGTGTTGTCACAACCCCTAGTGTACAGTACACAACCCTGTGCACTTAAAAGAACCCACGAATCCGTTGGTATATGACCAGATGGTGGCTACGATCGCAAACACCTAGTTTGTGGTACAGCAAGGTGAAGCAAACTTGGACAAAGTACTGTGACTATGTGTCCCAGTCCACCCAGCTGTGAATGTGTACTTCGTAAGGATGGAAAGCCACAATAACTTGGGGCGCCTAGTGGCAGCAAGAGTTGTATACTTCCCAGGGAGTTGAGATTGATAATACGATGTGCCGTTAAGATTGACATCCAGTGATCGAGGGAAAAATACCAGCGCCTTGAGCATGCACTAGTTGCCTGGATATGTGCGCTACATAAATATACTATATAGTAAGTGTCTCCCTCAGACATACTCTGAATAAATACTTGGGCTGGGTATGCCGAGAATGATGTACTGCAATATATTGTAATACTTAGGTCTGAATTTCGATACATGTTGCAATATATTGTGATATATGGTGCAATATATAATAATACTTCAATTGTATTGTGATACATGTTGCAATATATTGTGATATATGGTGCAATATATAGTAATACTTCAATTGTATTGTGATACATGTTGCAATATATTGCAATACTTATGCCTGTATTGGGATGTATAATGCAATATATCATCATTAAGATAATGCTGTGTTTTCATCCACTTTCAATCCACCCTTTAAGTTTTCCAAGCCAACATGTTTGGAACAATGTGTAGTGGAGAAGAACACCTGGCAGTTATGAGTACAGTGACATTCAACCAAGGGAGTTAACTCAGTGACAAAATATATAGCACTGCATCCTTGAAATATTATCAATCTGAAATAGGATGCATCAGGAAGATTATGATTAATTAAAGACCAATTCTAACACAGATCTTCATAGGACAATGCAGACTGAAGCTAACAACTGACATGAAACAAGGGAGTTAACTCAGTGAGTGAGTTTTAGCAATATTCCAGCAATATTATCAATCTGAAAGGGACACCAGAAATGGGCTTCACATTATTGTACCCATGTGGGGAATCAGACCCGGTCTTTAACCACTGAAGCTAATTAACTGCTCAGAATGCAAAAGAAAAACTGATGAGGTACTGTTCCTTAGTATGCTCCGTTGCTCATATATCAGTTATATTTTATCTCGTCTCACATTTTATAAAGAAAGGATGAAATTTCCATTTTCTTAACGAACAAACCAAATCAGTGTACATCTTTCCTTTACACAGGTATTTCAGTTCTATTTTGTCTATTACATTGTCATTCTGATGAATGTTGTTGTTTCTTGGCTTAGTTATTACTTCTAAACACACCTTTTGTATCGTTAATTTCAGGTAATGACAGGTAAGCAAACATTTGACATCTTATCTCCATGTAAGCATTGTTGTTAATGAGACGGAACACTTCATTCATCATAAGGATTCATAAGATATCTTCAAGTAATTGTAATCTGAAACTATTTAGACGTTTGAAAATACAAGTTAAGTGCATGTGAACTCATGCAGCACTCCAGCAAAAATCTCAAAGGTATTCTCTAAGCAAAGAAGTAGGATATGAGCTTCGGAGGGGGCGCTCTTTATATTTGGCCATTCATGTTGTTTCATCTTTTTTATATCATGATAACCAGCTTGCTGGAGTTGGTCAAATGAAACCAAAACAAATTTGTGTTGCTTGAAAAGTTTATCCTTATTGTATGCGGTTGTTGGTTTAGGTAGTTGAGGGGGCAGAATTAAATCTTGATGCTGTCTAAATTGCAGAATTTATACAGTAACATATATACTAGTCAAAAGAAGTTAAAGGACCCCTGATTCTTTCATATTTCTGTAGTTTATTTAAATAACACCCAATTCATTAATATCAATATTTAATCTGTCACTGCATGACAAATTATACATGTAAGAAGAGTATGAAATAAATTCTTGTATTTTATTATCAAGATTTAATTCTGCAAGGAAAGGCTATATTTTATGTGAAAGGTATATACCACTGTTCTACTACTACTAATTATTGTCTATAATGTGACACTTACTCTTATGTCTGATTATTGTAGTTGAATGTTATAATGTTTCTGCCAAAACATTAAAGTAGAGAAATCAATTAAAAGTAGTTTAATCCAATCCTAAAATATATAATATACCCTATAAACAAGTATTGTTTGAAAGGGGCATTAGTATAGCAGAGGTGCACATTATCAAAACACTAGTTACCATTGTTAATAATTCTAAGCATACTTCCATGACATTACATCAAGGTCACATCCTGTAATTACAAAATAACTTGACCGCCTCCATGGTGATGTGGTTAGAGCGTCCGCCCGGAGAGCGGAAGGACGTGGGACCGATCCCCGACCGCGTCATACCAAAAGACGTTAAAATATGGTACTTGTTGGTCCCTGCCTGGCGCTCGGCATTAATGGGTACAACAAGGACTGGTCGGCTCGGAGTCAGTATAATGTGTCTGAGTGGGGTATTCATGCTTCACTGCGGCATGGTATCTCAGTGGGCTAGCACTATAAAACCAGCTTAAGTCTGGGCTAGTACAAGCAGCCGCACATACACATACACACGCATGCACGTCGTCATATGAGCGAAATATTCTCAAGCACGACGTTAAAACCCAATTTCACCTCACAAAATAACTTAATCTTCAGATTTTCAATAGAAGTCCTCTTCACTGCTAACTAGTGAATATATATACTCAACTATACATGAGTAGTTGTATCCATACTAGCATATAGCCGCCTACAGCTTCTCTTACGACTTCTTTCCAATACCTGCTAACTAAATACAGATGACTGGAGGGACTACTTCTGTCGAGAAAGAATTATTAAAAATGACTATTACTTTCATAATCATTGTGAATGCCATGCCTCTATCAGC